GTTCGTCATAACCGGTACTCAACGACGCGCCACTAGCCAGGTACAATGTTTAGCCGCATGAAAAGCTTGCTTGATGGATATTTTCATTGCAGCGATGACACTAGCCTGGCCGTGAGAGAATCGACCGGTTCTGATTCGTCGATCGATTCGAATCGAGGATGGGGTTAGAGGTTGCGAGTAGTTGGGTCGAGGATTTTTCTGCGGTTTGGGCAAGGACGCGTAATTTTAGATACTGCGATTTAGGTCGTTCTTAATTGAAGGATGATCGATTTGAGTGTTTTTTTGTTTTTTTTTTTTTGAGGTTTCAGTTAATTAATTTTGGGTGAAGGAGGAATTGTTTGGGTTTCGTGTATGGTAGTGAGGATTTTTATGGATTTTTTTAAGTATTGTGAAGAAGTTTGGAAATTTTTAAGGTTGAATCCCTGAATCTTCTTCTTTCAAATTTTTGAAATGTTATACATCTGTTTGATAAGTCTTCGAATTGTGTTTGGTTTAGGACCACATTTTGTGAATTTTTTAAGTATTGTGAAGAAGTTTGGAACTTTTTAAGGTTAATTCCTTGAATTTTCTTTTTTTCGTTGATTAATTTTATGAATATTGAAATTTTTGAAATTTTCTGAATGTGTTCGATGAGCCTTTGAATTGTGTTTGGTTTAGGACCAAATTTTGTGAAATTTTTAAGTATTTTAGCGAAGTTTGGAATTTTTCAAGCTGGAATCTTTGAATCTTCTTTTCTTCGTGGATTAATTTTATGAATATTGAAATTTTTGAAGTTTCCTGAATCCATTCAATAATCCTTTAAAGAAAATTTCGCGAATTAGAACTTCCCAAATTTTCTACGTCTACAGGCACTACAATTCGATACTAATACCTTCTCCCAAGTTTCTCCACCAAAAGTTCACATAAACGTCTCTAAAAACGATCTAACGATCCCGCGTTCTCACAGAAGCCTCAATTAACCAATAAACATGGAAATTTCACATTCGTACAATTCCATTGTGTTTTATCTTCGACCACCGCCGAAATCACTGTTATCAGAATCTCCGAAGAACCGCGTATTTCTGCCTCATAACAGTGAATCACGAAGCAAAAGCCATTAAACTGAACGAGGAATGATCGCCATAAGCGGTGTATGGTGGTTCTATTGCTCGAGATTTCAATGATAGCGTAGCTCGTGGAGGGAAGCTAATCGATGGCATAATCGACGAGCCTAATAAAATCCTCGCGATCCCACCGGATTAATATACGAGCATGACGATCGAACGGGTGTATCATTAGCTCTATTTTGGAAACTTGCTGAAAGCGAGAGAGCACAGAAGCTGTGGAAAAACCGGTTAGCATCGCGAGGCTATTACGGAACTCATCGAATCGATATGATTGAGTGGAACACCGTATCATTAGCTGGAGTTTCGCGGCGTGGAATTCTACGGAGCGACGAGAATCGTAGAAACACCGGTGCCGCTGGCGGCGAAATGAATCGCGATCGATTCCTATTGTTCGATAATTCTTCTCGATCCTCGTTTCTGATACCTGAATTGATGGAAAAAAATTGGGGTTTTTTTTTCTGGAGGAGTTGGTTCGATTTTTGTTGGTATTTAAAGGGCAAAGAAATGTTTTGCCGCACCTGATTTAATGTACTTTTCGTGTTATTTACCCCTGGAAATAAGTAAATAATTTTTTTTGAGGTTAGGTTACTAATTCAACTTAATTTCTGATTTAATGTAATTTTTCTTTTCCTTTTTGTGACTATTCATATTTTGTTTGCTCTCTATCAATGTTAATTACCCTTGGAAATAAGGGAATCATTTTTTTTTTTTTTTTTGAGGTTATGTTAAGTTGGATTATTGATTCAACTTAATTTCTGATTTAATGTAATTTTTCTTTTTCCTTTCGTGAGTATTGAAATTTTGTCTGCTTTCTCTCTGCGTTACCTATCCCTGGAAATAAGTGATTAATTTTTCGAGGTTAGGTTACTGATTCAACTTAATTTCTGATTAAATTTAATTTTTCTTTTCTGTTTGTAACTATTGAAATTTTGTCTGCTCTCTTTTTGTGTCAATTACCCCTGAAAGTAAGTGAATAATTTTTTTTTTTTTTGAGGTTATGTTAGGTTAGGTTACTAATTCAATTTAATTTAATTCAATTCTTCTTTTTTCGTAACTACATTCCAATAGCACACAAAATTGTCAGGAGACCAACGTATTACTCTTTAATGACACATTTCAATATCAATATTCCCCTCAAATTACAAACGTTTCCAAAGTTGCTAATTTTCTCTTAACCAGAAAAAAAGGATGGACCGAAAATTCTCATTCCTCGACCACCTGATACCACGAAAATTCGGGAACTCGCTACTCTTTAATTGCACACTTCAAAATAATTATTCCTCTGAAATTATAAACGCCCCCGAACCTGCTAATTTTCCCTCGACCACGTAATAAAGACTTGATCGAACGAAAATTTTCACTTCAAAACCACGTGATGCCACGAAAATTCAAAAATTCCCTACTCCTTAATTACACACTTGAAAAATAATCATTCCTCAGCTGCTAATTTCCGCTGTCGAATAAAGACCACTTAATCGAGCGAAAAATTCGCAAATTTCTCGATCACCCGATACTACCGCGAAAATTCCAGCGGTTTCCAAAAATGGCTCCGAGATACGCCTCCAGAAGCGGACGATTCGCTTTCGGAGGCACGAAACTGTCGGGGAAACGCGACGTGGCGGAAGGAAGGGAGAAAGAGGAGAGGACTTGGCGTAAATTAGGGAGAATAAGTGGCTTTGGGCGGAGGATGAAGAAGTTGGGGCACGCAGCTCGTTCAGGAAGTGGTTCTCCGGTAATTGACGATTCCGCGTCCCTCGCGGTTGTACCCGGATTAATGCCAGCGTCCGCGTATCTCCTCCGCGTGACGTGCGCGAGGCAATCGGAACGGAATCTCACCGTCTCTCTTCTCCCCCTCTTCCCTTTTCCTCGCCCCTCAACGACGAACCGGGGCCCTAAAAGCGTTACGTGACGTTTTCACGTGCCGCACGAACACCGCAGTCCCGTAATTAGAAGAACAAGGACGAAACCGGAGGAGCGATACGCTAATGGCTCACCGGTAAGCGATGGAGACACGCGTGTAATTTCCATGGAGAAACTGACGTATGTATGTACCGGCGCGATCCTTTTCTCCTGCTTTTTCGTGCATTATGCGTGCAGGATTTTGCTTTGCGAGGGTTTCTGCTCTTTTTTTTTTCAGTGGGATTGGGGAGGGATGGAATTGGACAGATGGTTTGGGATTGGGAAGGTTTGCTTGCTTGAGGAAGTTTGAGGAAGTTTGAGGAAGTGCAATGGTTTATTAATTGAGATCTTTTAAATGACCGAGGCGAAGTTTGAATTAAATTTTTGGGTTCACGTGAGTTTATTGTTAGGAATGTTTGCTTGTTTGAGGAGGTTTGAGTAAGTTTGATCGAAGGAAGTAAAATGGTTTATTAATTCAGATTGTTTAGAATGACTGGGATTAAGTTTGAACGAGACTTTTGGGTTCACGTGAGTTTACGGTTAGGAATGTTTGCTTGTTTGAGGAAGTTTGAGTAAGTTTGGTCGAAGGAAGTAAAATGGTTTATTAATTGGTATTTTTGTGGTTCGTAATGAAAGATTGATTGGTTGATTAATTCAGATTGTTTAGAATGACTGGGGTTAAGTTTGAACGAGACTTTTGGGTTCGCGTGAGTTTGTGGTTAGGAAAGGTTGCTTGTTTGAGGAAGTTTGAGTAAGTTTGATCGAAGGAAGTAAAATGGTTTATCGATTGATATTTTTATGGTTCATAATGAAAGGTTGATTGGTTGAAAGTTTAATTGAAGGTGATTCTAATGAAGTTTAAATAAAACTTTTAGGTTCACGTGAGTTTATAATTAGGAAAGTTTGCTTGTTTGAAGAAGTTTGAAGCTCGTTTTTTCTGCAAAGAAATGAAACGGTTTCAACATTTTAACGATATACACAATAATAGCAATAATTGTCATAGATATACATAGAGTCTATCTGTGTGCAGACATTTACCATAGAAAAAATTGAAATTTTGACAAAATCGTGGAAACGACACATGGGCCAACGAAATCCTTGGCTCTCGCCGATAAAGTGGTCCGTGCACACGAACAAATCGTTTAATCCGAGCCGAGGCCCGATCGAGGTAATGACGGCCATAAACTGCAGCCACAGAAGGGCGCAGGAAACTTGAAGAGAAAGAAAGAGAGAGAGAAAGAGAGGCCAAGGTTCCTGGGTTCGAGCGGAATTGGGCCTGACAGGCGAAATGGGCCTCGTGGTCCCGGGCCACGTATACCTGCCTCTTCTTCCTCTTCTTCTTCTTCTTCTACTTCTTCTTCTTCTTCTTCTTCTTCTTCGTGTTCTTCCTCTTACTCGTTGGATGGTCAGTGCGTGTCCCGTTTCTCTTTCTCTTGTTTCTCGACGGACGTGCAACTCGGATGCCACAAGCCTGGGATCCCAGATGGAGGATCCGGTTCCAGGAATCGAGCGTGTAAAACATCGGTTAAAGGCGTGCTTTCCAAGCGGGAATCGATGGGAAAACAATGGGTCGACAGCTCCTAAAGTGTCTGACAAATGTTCCGCGCGTGTTGCCCTCGGAGGGTATTAGAGATTGTCGCGGATTTTTCGATGCCTGGAACTTTGGAGGAAACTTGAGGGGATTTCATCTGTGCTTGTTGGAACCTTTTCAGTTTTTCGGTTTTGGGATACTCGAGTCTTTGAATCTTTGAATTTTTGAATCCTTGGATCTTTGAGTCTTTCAATCTTTGGATCTTTGAATCTTTGGATTTTTGAGTTTTTGAATCTTTGAGTCTTTGGATTTTTGAATCTTTGAGTCTTTGAATCTTTGGATTTTTGAACCTTTGAATCTTTGAATACTTAAGTCTTTGAATCTTTGAGTTTTTGAATCTTTGAGTCTTTGGATTTTTGAATCTTTGAATCTTTGGATTTTTGAACCTTTGAATCTTTGAATACTTAAGTCTTTGAATCTTTGAGTTTTTGAATCTTTGAATCTTTGGATTTTTGAAACTTCGAATCTTTGAATATTTGAATCTTTGAGTTTTTGAATCTTTGAGTCTTTGGATTTTTGAATCTTTGAATCTTTGGATTTTTGAACCTTTGAATCTTTGAATACTTAAGTCTTTGAATCTTTGAGTTTTTGAATCTTTGAGTCTTTGGATTTTTGAATCTTTGAATCTTTGGATTTTTGAAACTTCGAATCTTTGAATATTTGAATCTTTGAGTTTTTGAATCTTTGAGTCTTTGGATCTTTGAATTTTTGATTCTTTGGATCTTTGAATCATTGAATTTTTGAATCTTTGAATTTTTGGATCTTTGAACATTTGAATTATTAAACATTTGAATCATTGAACATTTGAATCACTGAACATTTGAATCTTTGAATTGTTGAACATTTGAATCTTTAAATCATCGAATTTTTGGTTCGTTGAATCACTGCATCACTGAATTCTTGAATTCTCGAATCCTAGAATCACCCAAACTTCTACAAAGACACTTTCCATACCGTAATCACTATCCAAATTTCGAACTTCTCCTCCCGAAGCATTCTCAAATTTCACCCTCCTATTCACAGTACAGAAAAAAGAAGTTGCAGTGCAAAACAGCATCATCGAGGATCGGCGTTTCCGATCGGTCCAGCCAATAACTCACCGAGTCGCGAGTCGTAGTGGATGTTTGCATTTGAATAACACGCCAGGCGACACGAGCTTTTTCCACGAATGTGTGCCACGAGATAAATGGTCGGTAGGACGGGGCCCGTGGACCACCGAGCTGACCAGGTAAGCACGCTCGTAAAGTCCAAATTAAAGCTGGATTAAGCGGATCCTGGGGATACGATCGATCGTCTTCGACTTTTTCCTTCACCGAGGAATCCTAAAACGTTTATGCTCACGACCACATTTTCTTTTTGCACGTAACATTATTCGAACCAGCGGAAAACTAAGAAAATTACCAGAGAATTTCGAAGTAGTAAAAATTCAGAAAATCAAAAGAATTAAATGAAGAAAATTACGAGAGAATTTAAGAAATAGATGACGAAGGATTAAAAGAGACTAGAAAATAATAATAAAAATCCGGAAAATGAAGAAAATTGAGAGAAATTAAAAAAATAGGTAATTAAGGATTAAAAAACGTTAGTAAATAATAATAAAAATTTGATTAAAAATAAATAGATCTGAGTGAGAAATTTATTATTTACCGCATTCTACAATACTTTATATTTAATCACCGCCGTTCTCCTTATCGATGTATCGATAACCATCGATAACTTATCAATAACTTACCAACGATCGCTATAATCATCGTCGGTATCTCTATACTTTACCAACCACAGCCTGTTCAATAATTTCACCCGAAACGAAACCAAAGAATAGTCCCCCAGATCCCGCTGAGAAAAATATCTTTCAATCGATCCTCTCGATTGCAAGCCGTTCGTCTCGCTAATTACGTTCGCGGAAGCCGCGACTTTTCCATTGGGCGTTGCTCGCGTTCGTTCCAGGAAGCCGCGGAATCTGACGCTCTATCAGGGGTCAAACGATCCGCTCTTGGAGCCGGGACACAAATCGGCGGAATGGCGGTCGTTCACGGTAGGCTGAACAACATCGAGGAAGACGTTAGCCACGATATGATTAGAAGGCGAGAACTCGCGGCTAGATCGATAGGCGAACGTTAACGGCGTGGAAATCGCGGCGGCCTGCAATTTTCCTCGACGCTTCCTGCATCGAAGCGCCGCGCCGCAGATGCAGATTCTCTCCTACTCTTGCTTCCCTCCTTCCATCGGCGCCTCCTGCTTCAACGGAGTCGAGATCGTCGGACTTATTGATTTTGCGGCTTATCGCGGAATCTCTCTTATCACGAGAAAATTATTCCTTACTCTTCTTCTTTTTCCTTTTTGAGACACAGTTCTGTTGCGAGAATTGCGGTGGGGATTAGGTGTGTCGGGGATGATTTTATGAATTTTCTGAGACGAGGAATGGAGGTGAAGGTTGGAAGATCTTTGAAAAATTTCTTTACTATATTTTTGTGGGGGGAAAGACAGGGAATGGAGTATGGTTGTTTTAGTTTATTTGGGAAATGTGTTGTTCGTTGTAATTCTTTTATTATGTGAAGTAAGCAAAGCGAGCAATATAAGTCAAACTCTAATACTTGGCTCTGTGGTTGTGTAACACGTGATAATAAGTTCAATAGCGATATATTTTACAACAATAATTTCATAATAACTCTAAACACACGTAAAAAAGGAACAATGATAATCTGATGAACGGTCTCTTATTATATCTCGCAATAAATTCTCACGTACTCACTGATATCAATAACAACGCGGTTCTGCTGTTTTACTCCCTGTTTCTCTGTATGATCCGCTCGTTTCCCAAATCTCGAGACGATTCGACAAACACACTACATTCACGCCATCACTTGCAACATATTATTAAACCAATTCCACAGGCTCTGTATATTTTCCTCCGAACTCCCCCTCCACGGTTTATCTCGATCACTCTAAATTTCAAATTGCCTCACGTTAATTGCTTTTTTGCCAATCTCTTTTGCTTTGTCTCCAACTTTACTTGTGAACAACTCTGCTTACTTGATGTCCGCCAATACTTCAGACCGGTATTATAACTACCAGAATTTACTGTAACATAATTCTATCATTAATTTCCATGGCAGTATGTTAGATCTTATATTTTGTGAACAGATTCTTGTTTCTTGTGTTACCGGCGTCGTAAGACAGTATTAACACATTTGCGTGACACATGCGTCATTCAGGTATTCACTTGGATTCCGAATGACGCGAAATACGTGATATCTGTCTGAAAGTAAATTTATAAAACGCTGTAAGTGATTGAATTTCTTTTCAGAAACTCCGTGACAGATGTTTCACGAATTCTAATAATTGTATACGTTTTACGAAAAAGTGATTTACCACATTCTTGAAAATTTCTTTGGAAAATAATAATTAGTTGAAAAGTGACGATTGAAAGAAAAGACGCGAAATCACCCCGTGTATATATAGTTGGGGCCACGATATAGCGAGGTCGTAAATTAAACTCTCAAAAATCGGCATCGATTGATGTTGCGGCACTCAAGGCCGTGTGTTGCAGTCTGTTTGAGGGTTCCAACAATAAACGAATGGTAGCATATGATTTGGTACTTCAAGTAGAAAATGGTATTTCATTTACAAATGGAAAATATGTTAATATTAAAGCTACACAATCCTTTTGCATTTTCTATCTGTATATAACACGAGCAGGTAAATGAAGATGTTAAAGACCTCAATAAGACCTTTACTTGTAACCGTACTTCCAAAAGCGGCTTTTCCCAGAAGAAAAAAACCCTAAATTGTCCTAGCTGAACTCAATTTTCAGTAAATATATTAGAATCAGTTTGACTTTCGCTGGATACAAGAATTCTTTGTACGGTCCTGACCATGGTTTCAAGTACTTATCTGCTCGTATTTCTGTCAATTTCGGGGTCCCGGCAGCTAAAACATGTTTACTTTGACGCCTAACCGATTTTACGACCTCGCTATATCGTGGCCCCGACTATACGTGTTAAGCGCTGCTCTAAGAGCCCCATCGCCAATGTGTTAATACAGGGTGTCCCGTAACTCCTCGAACATCCGGAAATGGGGGGTAGCTGGGGTGACTCTGAACAACTTTTTCCTTTTCCAAAATCCAGTTTGTAGCTTCGTTTTCGAGTTATTAACGAAAAACACTGGCCAATTACGGCGCGCGTAGAGCCCGCGCTCAGGGGCGGAGAACAGAGTCCCATCCGCGCGCCATTTCTCTAAGCCTTAAAAAAACAGCAGTGCAAAGTGAAATTTTTCTGACAGCTATCGAGAACCGAGAAGTCACGCGTACGCATTTGTTCGATCGCGCGATTGTAGAATTTTGGTAGAAAATTATTTCACCTGCGAGGTACTGTCGAAAGCACTATAATTTGGCTACTTTGGATATACTTTTATGTTACCTGTGGTAAATTTCCTATGAATGCATAAAAATTCGCAGTTTATTTATTATATTTAAGAGCAGCTATCCGAGTGGCAAAAAAAAAAATTAATAGAAATTGAAAATTAATAAGAATTCAAATTTAAGAGGAATAAACCAAAATTAATACTAATGAAAAATGAGTGGAAAAGACTCGAAAAGAAAAGTAAAGTAAAAGTAAAAGAATCTGTATCAGTGGTTTCGTTTTATCTGGTTGAACCAGTCGAACTCTAGCAACCATAAATCCTGCTCGATCCCAAGGACCGAACGCATGGGTTAGTGTAGAGCCACGGTCAGGCTAATTGTTTTATGATCGTCTTACCTCGAGATCTGGGCACCACTTGCGTCAGGCCCAAAACGAAGGATGGCCTTCCGGTCATAAAACACGCCACTTTTCGACATCTACTTTTTCTAAAAACTTGTGGTAAACGGAACTTTTCGTAAAGAGCACGAATGTAATAGGAAATTGTGCGAGAACACGTAATGCCGGTTTCACACCGATGTTTTCGCGAGCATTGATCGTTTAACGATCGTTTATTTGCAATTAAAACGTTCTCTGTAGGGGAGGGCTTGGTGGAAAGAGAAGATTTAAAGGTAAACGAAACAAGGAGTTACGGTGAAAAAAGAAACACGAAAGGGAGTGGAAGAAAAAGAAGGGGTGTAGTAGAAGAAGAAGAAGAAGAAGAAACGAGGAGGCGGCGATGCGTGTGGGTTCAACGAAGGGGGTGTCGGGTTACCAATGAAATACTGGTACCATTTTGTTTACAATATTGTCGGGGGTGTATCCTCCGGAACAGTGTGCGGTGGGAGGAGGGGGAGAGGCAGAAGGTCGAACACTTCCACGGCTCGTTGTCCGTTCTCCGTGGAACACCTTGTGCCCACAGAGGAAGAGAGGGAGAGAGGGCAAGGGAGAAGGAGGAATAGAGAGAAGTAATGCAGAAAGAGAGAAGGAGAGACAGAAGAAGAGAGAGATAATACAGGAAGAGGGAAGGAGAGACAGAAAGACAAAAGGAGAGACAAATAATACAGAAAGAGAGAAGAAGGGAGAAATAATACTGAAAGAGGGAAGGAGAGACAGAGAAAGAGAGAGGAAGAGAGAAATAATACTGAGAGTGAGGAGGAGAGGCAGAAGAAGAGAATACAGAAATAGAGAAGGGGAGACAAAGACAGAAGAAATAATAGGTACAGAAAGAGA